TTTTCATCCAGTTTTCACTTTCTAAACTAGAAGGTGTTATTTATGTCTTTTGCCATTGTATCCCATACTGTGCTCTTTATCTCAATAATCTGGCTATTAACAGAATTTTGACTTTTTTTTCTCTACATGAAGAGAGAAGCTTAAAATGGAATTAATACTAAAGAAAGAATGAAAAGGTCAAGCAGGTTTCAGGTTTGGTATTCAGATACAGATTTCACCAGGTCCAATTAGAAAAGAGCAAAAAGTCCATTACTGTCTCAGTTTTGTGAAATAGAAGAACAATATTTCAGTCCAATCATCAGTCAGTGAACATGCACCTCTTTTGAAGTGACCACCAAAAAAAATCCAATAAAGTTGACATTCTAACATGCATTTATTGACCTGAACTTTTTTTGAAGCTGAACCACCCTTCTGCCAGGTGTCATCTGGAGTAGGTATGCAAGAGAAATGACCGTTTCCTTCTTTCTGTGGGTTTAAAACAATTCTTTCATCTGGAGGTGATCTAATGCCTTTCACTGGCATCAAAATCACCTTAAACAAAAACATGTCCCTTTTTTTTAAGAATACGCTGTGGGTACAGTGTGCTCTTTCAGAGAGATGAAGTATTAGCATTTGAAAGGATGGATGAGAATGCGTATTTTGGAAAGACCTTTGTTCAGAGAATTACCTCTATATTCTATGTGCATATCACCATGGTAATTGAAATATTTGCCACTGATGAGAAGGTATACAGCACAAGCCTTTTGCCATTTCCCATGATGTGGTTTCTAGCAAAGAGTGCTATTTGTCAGTTTAAAATTTTTGGTAGGATATTTAGCAGTTGTGCCTACTGTCACAGAGATGGATGTGGTTTGAAATCATGAAACAAAAAGGAACAGGTAATGACATCTTCTTCTTGCAGTTTAATATTCTTCCCCATTTCCACTTAAAATGTGAGCCATTCTGGAACTGCTGGAGCCACAAAGCAAAACCAAAACTGTGCTCTCTGCATGGCTTTGTCAATTAGGATGCTGGTAACATGAAACAGTTTATTCCTTTCTTCCCATCATCACTGCTTTTGGGACATTGTTGCAAACAAAACAAGCCTGTCTCTTCCCTGAGGTAATTTCGTGCATGTGAACTCTGTGAAGAGTGTAGCAGTCACTGAGTACTGTGTGAAGGTTTATGTAAGGGAATTACATGATGAATCTTATGAAGGCATATAGGATACACATTTCCACAACAGGGATATCCTTGAGGAACCTCATTAACATGACTCACTTAACAGAGAGAAAAAATCTCAAATGCTTGCACTCACTACCATGTGTGCACATCTTTCATTTTAAATAGTATTCTGTAGGAAAAGGTGCAGTATAGGTATCATGGGGAGTAGTACTGCTTAGTGAACTGCTCAGGATACAAAAAGGGACGGTACCCTTTTTTGCTCTGTCATGCTGTGGCTGATTGTCATCTCTAGTTTTCTGTTCCTCAGAGTAAATCCAGCTCTCTAGAAAAATGTCTGGTTTTGTGTTGTCCTCGCCACTTAAGAACAGGGGTCACCTCCATACAGAACTCCCCGTGTTTCTGTGCTTTATTTCAGGCACAGATGGAAAGTAGAACACAGTTAAAAGGTAATGGGGTTTCCTACTCAGTGCTGCCCTTTTATCTCCCTCTTCCAGTACAGGATGGAGAAAATTTCATTCTTGTTATGGTATTGCATGTGGAAGAGGTAAGTGCCAATGCCAGGCATTATTCGTTATGCAACATTTTGGTTACCAAATGACCCTGTGGTCAGTCTTATGTAATGCCTGAGACAGCTTCCGTAGAATGCTGAAGTGTTTTGCTGTTGGTAGCTTCTGGATCAGCTTTCCAGCCAAATTGCATTTAAAGCATCCCTCAGTGATCTTCCATGCAGGGAAAGCTAAGACACGTGTATTCATTTTTGTTGCCTACCACACCCTTTCATTCTAGCCTAGGTACCAGGGTGAGGTTGCTTTCATATTGATTTTATTAGACTAGTGGCAGACTAAGACCCCTTCATTTCTTGTTCTGCTTAGGTATCAGGCTGAAATACCCAAACAAATACAATGACCTTCAGATGGACCCCACACAGTGACTCTGACTTGGCAGGGACCAGCTCCCTAGGACATCAAGGCAGCTGAGTGCCGATTCCTGAAAATCATGAGGCAAAGCTCTTTCCTCCAAAACTCATATGAAAGAGCATTAGACATGTGTTTGCCCACAGTCTGTATCCTGTTTCCTCCTGTGGCATCAGGATAAACCCCTGTCTTCCTTCTCCCTTGGAGCAGTGCTTCACTGTGCTCACTGCGCTTCATTACCTGCAAGCCGCAGGCTGGTGCAGAGGAGACTTGTGACACTGAGATCAGCTGAAGCCTAATGGGAGAGGAGTCCGCGTGACTGCAGCCGCACGGACTGGTCTGCCGCTGCGCTCTAGGTAAATAAAGCCCATAAAGCCCACTGTGATCACTGTTCAGCTGCTACATTTTTTTTCCTCTTTTTTTCCTTCTTTTTTTTTTTTTAATCCCATGAAGCTGCTGCTGCAGGTTTTGGCCTCAAAATTTTGTTTCTCAGGATAGAGAGCCACTGCTTCTGTATCGTCAGGCTGCAGCATGACATGCAGCAGAGACTTCATTATGCATAAGCAGAGCCATCGCTAAGGAAGGCAAACACTCTGGCTCTGCAGAACAAAAGGGAAGTGAGAAACGGAATGAGCAAAGGTATTATTTGCTGACAATAATTGTTTCCAGTTGCAGCTGATGGCAAGGATTAATCACAGTGTCTTAATACTTTATTTGGGAGCAGGGGAAATATTAAGGGAGGGAAGAGCTGAGAAGTGCTTTTCCAAATCTCCCTTGAAAAGTTAGTAAATAGTACTCTGGAAACAATGCTTAAGGTTTTGAAACTTGCAGTGTGTCTTTTATTGAAATGGCTTTGAACCCTTATACTCCTTCTTTCTAATTAGCAACTGAAATGCAAATAACCCTAGCTAAAAGGTGGGAGAAAAACATAGCATACAATTTAGTATCCACATGTTATGTGGAGTTACGTATATTAGTTGTTACAACTTCATTTTTTGTCTATAATTAAATCTAGATTAATTACATATAATGCAATCCCCATTTTAGTTCTCTCACACCAATGCTTAACTTCAACTGCAGCTAGCAGAACTCTAGTCCAGTGCTGTTCTCTACAACCTCTGCCCTTTCCTGATTTAAATACATCCTAAAGCTACTGTTTTTCCATAACACCCACAAGAAACTATTGTGTCCTAGTCTGCCATATATAATTTGTTATGGAATGAACCACTCTCTAGCATGGAGGGAGGAGGACACAGAAACACCTGAGTCAGGAGTAATTGTCACTTTCATTTAACCAAGGCCAGTGTTGTAGCTACGCCTACCACAGCTTACACCTACATTAAACAAACTTGTTTTTACATCACATTAAATAATGATAATGCATTTTCCGTCATGGATATTTTCCCAATATTTGCAAAACTTCAGGATTGAGCCTGTGACTGTACACCTTGTAAATAGCTTTTCAGCCAAAGCAATTTACACATGTTTTTGATCAGGTGTATTCCTGTAGCACCTTTAAAAATTGAAATACTACCAGCTCTAAGGATATTTGCTAGCCTGGTTTTGAAAATCATTTCTGCTGCACTCCAATGCATTATCCCTCTCTCTTACTCAAGTTTTTCACTGGCAGTGTAGCATCTGACCAAATCCTTGTTATTCCATTTACTTGCTTCCCTGAGGTTTGTCCTCTTGGCTGCTTTGAAGAGGTGGAGCAGAGCAGAGCAACACCTTCCCCACAGTTACAGCTCCCCTCTTTTCTCAACGATTACTTTTCTGCAGCATTTAACCTGCACACAGGGAAAGCTCTTGGCTGGCTTTTAGCAGTTAGCTGCAGTCAGCTTAACACTTTATGAAATGCAGTTTGCCCTTTCAGGTACTAGCCAGATTTAACTTGCTTTATCTTCAGACCACATAAAAAAGGAGAAATGCTTTAATTAGAAGTAGCTTTTTTGTTGTAAACTGCCAGTGGGAGCAGGGCGAACTTCCCACCCTTGTTGGGTGGGACAAAATTGGTATCAAATAACAATTCTGAGGCAAAAATTACCTGTGCCTGTTCCTAGCAGGATTTGAAGTTGAAATTAATATCTTGAGAGTTGTCTTTCTGGGTGAACACATCTAACCTTAGATTTAATCAAATAATCATAGGCATAAATGTGGTTCTAACATGAAGCAATTTTCAGGAGAGAGATGACCCAAAGTTTGCAGACTGCCTTTGTGTGCCATTAAATGCAGAGTTCTGCTAGTCTAGAAGCTTCTTCTGCCTGGTACTGTCTGGTTTCCCATTATTTTTCCCCTCAGATTTTCTGTCTTTCATTGAAGTGAGTGTTCACCTTTGAAAGAAGAAGCTGTGTGGGCTCCATTTAAGACTAAAAAGGATACCAAAACTGCCATTTAAATTCAGTAACACAGGCACTGCAATTACAGAGATGCCCTTGCAAAACTAGGTGCTCCTGCCTGCTTTTGATGGAGAGCAAGGAGATTATTTTTCAATCTTACTCAACCTAATTGTTTGTCCTGATTTTTCATTAACTTGTCTTTGCCTAGGCAGCAATTCTTAAATACTTTTCTTTCCCCCATCATTCCCTTTTCTCTATTCCTGTTTCCTGTTCTCCTTTGTCTCTTACTTTCCATGACACAGGGTAAGAATCCCTCCTCTGAGGGTTGTTTGTGCTGGTAAGAAGCTACCACACCACAATATAAGTTAAGGTAGGAGGTGGACTTCAGCAAAGTCCTCTTCCAAAATTAAAATTCAGTTCAGTCCCGCCTCTCTGAACTGTGTATCTTAGCATTAAGGTGATTTTCAAGCAACAAGGGCAAAATTAGACCGCAAATAAAAATGATCCAGAGGGTAAGTGTTTGGCCTCATGTATTTGCATTTGCAGGCAGATGTATTTATGAGTCCTCTTGGTTTGTGTTTTGTAGGACGAAGAAGGTCAGCCACTGCTACCGTATCATTTACCGGCACCCGGAGAGGACGCTAACGCAGGACGAGGTGCATCGCATCCATCAGGCTATTGAGGAGTCAGCAGTCCGGGAGCTTGGGGTGGAGGGCAGGTTCTAGCAGTGCTGCTCTGGAGCCATGAGGACAGTTGCTTTTTTCTTTCTTTTTTTTTCCTTTTTTTTTTTTTCTTTCTTTTTTTTTCTTTTTTCTTCTTTTTTTGGGGGGTGGTTTTAGGTCACAAGTAGAGAGACGGGTTTTGTGACTGAGCACAGAAAGCAATTGATGAATGGGCAATGGTAAAACTGGCAGGTAATAAACATTACTACTGAGAAATCATTGATGGAATGCTGGTGCTTTATTTTAAGAAATGGGGGAACAGCAGTAATGTAAGATTTCCCTCCTGTTACGATAAGAAATACACTGCCTGGTGGTTTTCTGTGTTGTTAATTGGTCCCTGGGTTCCATTAAACTGTAAATACTTGGCATTATTTCTGTGTTGACAGGATCTTCTGTCCATGTAACAAGTGAAGCAAATCAGAGACAAAGATTAGTTCAGGAAAGAAAAATCCATCCTGCCCCACCCCACCCCATCCCCAATTCCAGTTTTTGGGTTTTTTTGGGGTTTTTTTGTTTTTTTTTTTTTTTTAATAAGAGATGTCAGATTTTGCTTCAAGAAACCTTCCAAGAAGTACTTCTTGTGAAGTTTGACTCTCTTACCTTCAGAGCCCATGGGTGTTGCTTTCATCAGCTACAGAGAAGGAGCCGCTGTGGTTTGGGCCAGGCTTGGCTGTCTACAAATCCTGGGTCATTGGCAAGTTTTTCCTGTTAGATCCTCTTGTTCCCACAAAGCTGAGCAGACCTTAGTGAGGTGCTCCAAGCTCTGCTGCCTTCACCGGGGAGGAGCTCCCTTGTCTCACTTTTCTTTGCGTAGGCACCGGTGCAAGATAAGTCTCCTCCCCTGTCACTAGCAAAGTGTTGGTATCACCTATGGCAGGATGGCAGTAAATAGAAACTCTTCTCTACAATGCCCTGAAAAGCAGCTGCCTTGATCTCTCACAGTATCTTGCTATCTAGCTGCAGTGTCTGCTCAGAAATTTGACCTTTAAGGCAGGAAACCAAACTAAAATGGGATCTTCTGCTGTTTGAGGCTCCAGTTTCTTTACAGGATGCTTTCCTTTTTGATTGCAGGTTATAATAAGTAAATTCTGGTGGTGGTATGGTGCTAGAGCCTGTAGAAATGTTCAAATGATCTGATAAATACTTGATGAGCCATTGCAGATGCTGATATGGGACCTGTTTTGGCTTGTGATAGCATTTCATAGAGTCTTGCAGGTCACATCTGGTTGCTGTGCAGACAACATTCCCTCCTTCAGAGAAGAAGGCAGTAAAAATGCTGCAATAAACAGCATCTAACACTGATTTATACCTTATCAAGAAACATCTGTGCAGCAGGCTTGTACTCAACCATATGAAGCCAGTTACTATTGCAGATGTGACAGAGGCAGAGAGCTCATTTTAATTTCATTACTCAACATATTTAGCTGTATAAACAAATCCTGATCTAAATTGCTGTTGTGTTATCCAAATAACTTGATTATGAAAACAGTATGCTAGACTTTCTACAAGGCAAAAAGAATGGGTGCCATTTAGGCATCAGAAAAACCTACATGATTGTTTTTAAACCATCATCTACTAAGATCCATAAATACAGCCTAGCCCATTTGATGTTTCTCAGTCTCCTTAATCCTTCACCTTTTCAGAATTCTCAGTGATGACATGAGAAGGAGGAGGAGGAGAAGGAGGACTTCCCTGAACTGCACTGAGCAGTACTTGTTCCAAGACAGGGCATGATTGATGCTGTCACACAGGGCAGCAGATAATGTGGATCCTAATTGATGAAATTGTCTGTGGAGAGACTACCATAACCTGTGTGCTGTATGAAAGAACTGAGTCTCTTAGGAAAACAGGAGAACATCTGTGGTGAAGTAGGTCACAAGAGTTCCCTTTTAATTTCTTGATTAGTGAGTTTTCCCTTTTCTACTCCCCAAATCTTTCAGTTCTTCTTTGAATCTGATCTGCCAGTTTTGAGGGCATAGAAATCTGGGAAAAACAAGGAGCAGAAAATAGGACATTGAGCCTTTTCCACTGCAGCCACAGGACTTCATGTCTGGCTTTGAAGGCAGTTTGGGTGTTCTAGGATGAGCCCATATCCAGTCACTAACATCAGCTGTGTTTGACTCAATGATTTTAGAGCTCTTTTCCAAGCTAAACAATTCTGTGATTCTCTGTATCTGAATTACACTCCAGTGAGCACAGGCTTCCTGCAACAGCTAGGAAGCTGAACTGGTAGAGTAGTGTTATCCTTTGAAACCTGAAAAGTTAATCTCACCAGCTAATAGGATAAAGGGGAAATGGGAAGCTTTCCCTGAAGGTGGCCTGACACCATGGGATCATCTTTGGAGTACATGTTTTCGTAGGAGCAACTTTCAGGCAATAACGTAAACCATTAAGATTAAAAACCAAACAGCCTCTTCAGGAGCAAGTGTGATTCAGTCATATGAAGGCCTGTAAAATCATATGGGCTGGCTGTGAGCATAATATAAATACTTGGCTATGTTTAGCTTAGGTAAGCCTTTGTCATATATGTTCTAGGATTAACCTACTCTGAAAACCTATTGTTCTGGCAAGGATTCACCACAAGCAGCAAAGCAGACCTCAGACCAAGAGGCATCAGTGTTGCACTTTTATGCTCCTGTCCTCTGGCAAATATGATCTTCCCTTCAAAGCTTGACCTTAATTTTACTGGGAAATTTGCTATGGATAGTAGTAAACTCTCAAACCATGTGACCCCTTGTGGGTGCCGACAGAGACCACATTAGAATCCCAAGGTTGTAAAAGCCATGATTTATTTTACTGCTGATCAGAGACACAGGATGCCAACAGGACCTCAGAGACTGGACTGATCCTGGTGGGAGTATGACTGAGGAAGGTCCTTGGGAGTGTCAGTGACCAACTCTGACAAAGAAAGGGCTGCCCTCTGCTGTCACTTGGCTTTTCTCAAGACATGTTTAGCACAAAGATGGGTGAACTGGCTTGAAGACCAAGAGCAACGTCACTGCCAAGGTAAGATCCCTTGCTGGTCTCTGCTACCCTATAATCTGTCTCATGAATATCTCCCAGCCTTGGATGAGCTCCAAGTCTAGTGAAGGGGGATGAGTTCCCAAATACAAAAGTGATACCATGCCATGTGGAAATATTAAGGAGAGCAGCATTTAAGTAATTAATGGCCATGCTGACTGACTAGTGAGAGGCACAATACACTGCTTCTTGTTTTTATCAGCTCCTTGTGTATGTTTTTGTGTGCCTCTGGGTTTTATATCAGCATCCTTTAATAAAAGAGGGAAAAGTCAATTGTAGCAAAAGAAGCTACAGGAGTACTGGCTGGGCATCTGTGTGACTGAACAGTATGTACTGTTTGAATGTTGTGGGTGCTGGTTTTCTTCTTAGTTGCCATTGGTTTTCAAGCTAACCGTGATTCCTGAAAGACCAGAGATTTAGTTTTAGTGCTCAGTTTGGGATCTTCCCAGTAAAAGGCAGCAGATTTATGGTGCACTAAGCCTTACCTTGTTCTGATGTTCTTTTTAAAGGTGCTGCAGTGGAAAGGTGGTGTGATCTAGATAGGCAGGAAATGGCTCTGTGTTTTTATCTTTGAGACTACAGTCACCTCTGCCATGGCATTGCCAGGTGGGATCAAACAGTCACAGAAATCTGAAATCAGTTTTCTACTGGGAATCCAAGCTATATTAGTAAACCACTGGTGGTCATTATTGCCCTTCCACTGAGAGTCCCTTCTGCAGCTGGTGGCTGTACTGCAGCACTGAATTTACTGGCTTCTTACTCTGCCTGTATTGAGTTTCTCAACTACTGACATATTGGTCTCACTCCTTGAATAATTTCATGTAGGGATAACTTTTTGTAAAAAAATGGAAAAAAAAGTTGTGGGCTTTTCATGTATTTGGTAGTTTTTATCTGCAGTGATTGGTGCATTTCACCTGTCCCAGGAAAACTCACAGTCAACACAGGACTCTTTGGTGGTTCATTGAAGTAGACACAGGGAGTCTTGCCCTGAAAAACAGAAATATGTCCGTCTCATTGAGTTCATATTTGGGCAAAACTAAAGAACCTTGTCTTCATTGTGGGTTGACTGAAGGTTGACTGGTGCTCGTTGGTTAAGCCAGGCTCAGAAAGCACTCTGTGTTGCCACCCCCACCCCAAACACACACAGAAGCAGTTTTATGCACAAGGACATTCTGTCAGGTTCATTGTGAGCCTCTAAAATGATTGTGCTGGGTATTTCAGGCTTGCTAGTTGGTGAATATCTCCATCTGAATTGCTATCATCTAGGGGAGAAAATGGCTTTGTACTTCAGCTCTGAAATAAGTAGCCATATTTTTAAAGCTCAGAGCTTTCTTCAGCTACTGTCTGCTGTGTGTCTTTGCTCAGAGATGACTGTTTCTGTAAAACAGATTTGCTTTCTGCGTAGAACAGGCCATATTGACTAATTACACACACCCTGATCAGATTTTAAGATATGTGAGCATTGTCTCTGAAGGCCCACGAAAACTGAAGCAGTCTTGTGATGACCTTGAACAAATTTGTAGGGGGCACAAGAAACCAGCCATTGGTACTTGCTACCTGCTTTTAAATGTTGGTACAACCACATCAGAATTTTAAGCTGAGTTATCTCAGAGGAGACAACTGCAGTTCAAAACAGAGCATGGACATATGCTGGGTGAAGGCACTGACTTCCCCAGACTGTGTTGTATAAGGTTTGATCATCATTAACATCTGATGCACGCAAATGTTTGGCAGTTTTCGTGCTTTTGTGCTTTTGTCAGATGGCCTCTGTTATTCTATCTATGCCCACTGTTAACTAAGTAGAGTCTGGTTTAGTCTGCCTTTTTTACTTGGACTTCTGACACAACCTTGCTTTCTCATTTCAGTTTTGCTTACTTTCTCATACAGTTCTTGCTGTTGAAATTTGGTATAACTTTGGTGAAGACACAGTGCCAGGCTGCAGGCAGGGAGATTTATTATGCCACAGCCTAAAGCCTCTGCTCCTGCACCACATTACTGCAGGGTCTCTCTGTTCTCACCCTCTGGATGCAGGCGATTAACACGTGGTCCGGGGAATTGCCCCTCTGCCTGCTCAGTAATTTGCTGGGCAGCACTGCAGTCATCCAGAGCAGCTGCCACTTAAATGGGCAGTAGATTGTTCTCTTTTTATTTTAGTGCCTGCAGCTTCACGGTGTGCCACAGCCAGACGTGCTGTGTTG